GCGTGCTACCACAAAATGTGTCTGAGCCATTATTTCAATCTCTCTTCTATCCCTCATGCTCTCTGACTTTACTATAATCTTTGTATATCTTAACCGCACAATTGTGCAGGAGGCTCGAGGACCCCGTTTATTGCTAACCAAGGGTTATATCTACTTAGGGGTGTGTGATTACAGGTAACCACACATCACAGGAAGGGGCAGTACAATAGGCATACACATCACAGGATGGGGATGTACAATGGGCATAGGTGTAATAGGAAGGGGATGAGCTAGGGCTGTACACATGATAGGAAGGGGAGGAACTAGAGGCATACATATGATGAGATGGGTGGACCCTAGATTCATGATGGTGGGCTAACTTTGGCCACCCTTGGGTGGGCTTGACCTCTCTGGGGTCTACTACAAGGAAACAGTCAACTACTATCCTTATAAGAAGGGAGTGGGTCCTACTTGTTGTGGGATAAACAGTGGTGACTGCTTTCTCTAGATGGCTGACAACCCTTAGGGAGAATAACCCCTGACCTACTTCTGTTGACCTCCAAGTGTATAGTCATTCCCCACGTGTAGCAAGCGGCTAAGTTTGGCATACATTTGGGGGAGACAACTTGGGAGAAATATTTCTGTTTCCTATATTTCCTCCTTTTGTTTTATATATAAAATTCAAAAGAGCCACATGGGCAACATGGTTATTTTCTATACATTGAAAGCTGTCAAGACAAATTTAATGACCAAATTAATATAGCCAAAAAGTCAGGCTTATAGGAAACATTTTGAATCCAGGCAGGGAGGATAAAGTCCCTTTAAGCCTATCTTCTATTGGAGGAAAGTATGAGCAGGGCTGGATGCCACAGCGGGAAGAATTGGACCAAATAGGAGCGTCTGCTTCTTCAGGGGGATAGAATCAACCATTTGCCTATTTTAAGGCAGCACAGCTTTAAGGGGAGAAACTGTGGAAATGATAGATTGCCGCAGGAAAATGTACTCAGACTATATCTCCAACTACCAGAGAGGTGGTTTTCCTACCGTGGAACACTGGCTTTCCAGATTCCCTCCATACCAATCAGGGAATAAGTCCCAGTCTATTTCCCTTGGTGCTACTATCCTACATTTCCCCTTTCTGCATTATGTTTAAGATTCAGTAGAGTCATGGAAGCAACATGGTCTCTCTTCATATCTCTTAGCTTCCTATAGAAACAACACGAGACTGTGAGCATCAAAATTATGATGAATAAACAACACAGTCAGACTAGAACTTAAGTTATGTGAAATACTTTGAGCCCAAGCTCGAGGATCCAACCCTTCCATGCCATTCACCAATTGCTTAAATACCTCAGCTAGTGGAATGCCTTAAATCCACCCTTGAATATATAGGAAATATCCGATTTTAGCTGAATAACATTTAAAGGAATGTTTCCCTTAAGCCCTTGCAAATGTTTTCTTATCAAATCCCATTCAGGCAATGCCTTATTATAAGGATAAGGGGTTATACAAAAATCAATTACATTCCAATCACATTACAGCATTAACAAGTCCAAAATCTTGATCTTTCAGCAAAAGAACAGTCTGTTGAAATAGTAAAATGTTCAGTTTTGATAGAGTCCCAGAGTGTCCCTTAGACAGCATTAGCAATGGAAGAAACATCTCATCAGTCAGCGATCACCATTCTCAGGAATCTGCGAGGTCTTCTTGACGTTTTGAATAACTTCAGTAGCAGAACAGGGTCAGGTCACACATCAACTTCCCTCCTTTCTTCTGGGCCTTGCTGGCTGAAGAGGAATCCACCTATCTCCTTTGCCTGTGAAAACATAAACAAATAGCCCCTCCTTTCGGGATGTCAATGACCTGGAAACAGAATCATGGTTAAGCTTTTGTGGTTCCTTCGTGTTCTTCACCTTTCTCCAAATGTGATTGCATCCTTCTAAGGGGAGTCCCTCCGCTTTATTCTGCCAAAATACAAATGTATAGCCCTTTCTCCAGGTGACAAATGGACCTGGATCCCAAACGCGATTTCCATCTTCTTGGGACTCCTTGGGATCAGCTTTCTCTGTAGAAGTGAAAATGTGTTTATCTGCCCTAATTTTATTACAAGCTTTTAGTAAGGATAAATTTTTGTTGGTTAAAGTGACCAAATGAAATTTGTCACACATAAGATTCCTCTTCTCCCCCTTCAGTTTTAACAATGCAGGTGTTAAAGCACTGCTGGCAATCTCAGTGAACTTATTAGGCTTTGACCCAGTAAAACTACTAGTTGAGAACTTCTTACTACACTCAGGATGACTTGAAAGACTGAAAAAATTCTTAGTAAATGTGTTCAGCTGTTTTTGAAGTAACTTACCAAACAGACATTTTTTCTTCAAGTTTACCAATAAGGTTACAGGCGCTTTACACTGTATATTTTAGAACCTTACAATGTTCCCTCCTGGTTAAATTCTCTCATTCCCTCCATGCTGGCTTTAGGGGAAGTTAGTGTGTGGGTCTTAGGCCCTCCTGAATGCCCTATGGCAATAATTCCATATGCAGAGTTGAAAAACGTTTTTCCTCCAATTTCTAATGCCATGTGAGGGCGCTGTCGTTTCTCCACAACAGCACTCTAAAAGACCCCTTGATTTAAACGGTGGTCAGACTTTTCAAGTACTTTCTTGATAGGTATAAATTTTAACTCTAGAAATGCAAGGGAGCAAAAATTGATTTAAGCCATCTTCCTTCATTATAAACCATGGTATATCAGATTTCATCACTGCCTTAAATTCTTCATAATCCCAATCAAGAAGTCCAGCGACCATGAGAACACCTTGAGAATTTAGGTTGGACTTTCCTAATAAACATCCCAGAGTTCTTTTAGGTAGCGGACCCCAGTTACCACTCTTAATAATTTCTGATTTAATTACAGCTTTTAGCTTTTCCTCACAACTCTGATCAACTCCAGTATCAATATGAATTCCTTGACTATTTAGGTTAAAACTTCCTGATACAAACTGTATTACTCTATCAATAAAATGCTCCTACCTTTTAAAATCAACAAACTGCTGTGAGAGCTTCTGAGCCTTTACTTGGTTAGTCAAACTCACTGCAGCTAAGACAGAGGCTGGGCTATTGTGAGTTGGGTTAGGTCTAGTCTTCTGCTGTGAGGTTGGGTGATATCTGCAGTTTCTCTCTAGGATTTTCCTTGCTCTGGTAGGCAGACACCTTGCCTTCCACGCTCTGCTGGGCGTGGTCTGTATCAAGCTCCATTCTCTATTTCCCTGCCGGGAAGCATTTGCTAATGACAAACCTTTATTGCTGAATCTTGAGTGACATTGACTTGCCCAATGTGTTCCCTTCCTACAGTGAGTGAAAAGTCTGGATACTTTTAAACCCAAACTCGGGGGCCCTGGCCCATGCTCTGGCGCAGGCCGCAGTTTGCTTTTCGCAGCCAGGTTAATTGGCCTGTGCTGTCTGCACTCTCTTTGAAGATGACCTATCTTCCCACAACTAAAGCTTTTTCTTTTAGGTCTGGTGAAATTTGCCAAGGCAGCTACCATGAGGTTGGCCTTGTACTTATCTGTCTCTTCATTCCTGCATATTCTAAAATAATCTAACAGTATGCCCTGTTCCGTATAGGGAACACTGTGAATTCTTGTGCGTGTTTCCTATAATGCTGCCTGCCTATAACTCTAATGGGATAAGCCACTCTAAATTCTAAATCAGCTTCCTGAGCTATGCTGTTCTCTACCTGTGAAAACAAAGGTGACTTCCTACTCTCTGCCTCTTTGCTTCCTGCTTCCTGAACCTCATGAAAGGTTGGAGACAGAGGGGCGGAACAGAGATAGATTTTAGCCAGGAATGTGAAGTTGAGAAAGATTTTATTGAGGCAGGGAAAGAACTCCCAGGAGAGAAGGTAGAGCAGGGAAAGGGCCGGGGCATCTTGATCCCCCGGGCGGGTTCCCAAACCAAAGGAGTTAGGTCAGGGAAGTTGCACCTGGCAGTGAGACAAAGGGACTTATATCGGGCATGAGCTTAAAGGAATAGGAGTCGGTAAGGTGAAGGGAGGTTCTACGTGCTGCGGTGGCAAGTTTCGGGCCAGGTGACGTCCTGTCAGTAAATCATGTTGTTGCTAGGAAACAGTGCTAGGGAGAGGGAGGCTGTGATCTCTCTGGGGAGGTCATCTTGTTCTTAGGGAACAATGCTAGGGAGAGGGGGGCTGTGTTCTGGCCAGGGAGGTAAGCTCTGTGAAATGCTGAAGGCAGGTGCTTTGAAGTTCAGGTGCTTTGAAATTCAGCCAGTCATTTGTCTTCTCGTGAAGCTGGTACAAGGGGCTGCCTCGGTCCGGACCTGGCCCAAACATGACCCCCAATAAAGAAAGCAACAACACCAAAATCACAGCCATCCAGGCCACGCTCATTTATAAGGACTGTAGGAAACCTGATTTCTTACCTTAACTTGCTGAAATAAGAAGGGGCGATTTCTCCCGAGTGACAGCCAATCTTATCCCAAGAGAGCTTATAGGAGAAGGATAATTAAGCTGTCATGGAGTTTGGTGGGTAAATGACATTGCTTAAAACAAAATTTATGAACTGAAAAGAAACTTTCATAATATTTACAATTTTTAAAATATGTTTTAGAGGTAAAATGGTAAAAACATGAGTTATCGATATTATCTATGTAGTTATCTATATTCTCTGCCTCTACTAAGCTGTTATGAATCTCAGATAAATGTGGAACCCCTGTCCCTTTCCTCCCCCACCACCAACAACAAAAAAAAGATGAAAGAAAATGAGGCCAGTATAGGCCCACCTGCTCAGAAAGTGATCACATGGGAGGGACTTCCAGTTTGAGTAGATATCATCCAGTTGGGATATTTGAAACATTCTGTACAAGTCATCATTACAGAGCTGAATAGAGAAGGAACCCAGGCACAATAGTGGGGTAAGCTTTGGGAGGGTACCCACAAGGTCAGAAAACTAACCATGTCTTGAGGCAAAGCTGAAGCCATCTACTCTGCTCAGACACCCACAGGGGCAGTTCTAATCTCCTGTGTGGGCTCACCAGGAGCTAGAGCCTACTCAAGGGCTCAGAATGTGATCTCTAGGGAGTCAGCTGCCCAGATACAATCCAAAAAGGCTAAACCATCTTGTCAGCAGCCAATGAGCAGAAGGTTGTGGTTCCCCCATTCCCCGCACCAACCCCATCCACCTCCCGACACAAAGTAGTACTCTGTAGTTGTTTATTAAATCTGGGTCTTTCACCAGACCTACGGGCCATGGGACTTGAGACAGTCACCAACATATTTGCTAGTTCACTTTGATTCATCTACTTCCCAAGCTGCTGAGGCCACTACCTGCCACAGGACCTGCTCATCTTGGATTCCACAACTCCTGGACAACCTTGAGTGAGGAGAAGAATCCAGTTTGAAATCAGCCCCATTTGGACCTGGCCAGCCTCTACCGCAGTGAGTTGATAAGAGGAGTGTCATAGCTAGAAAGCTCCCCTGTGAGGAGATAAGGGGGGCAGAGCGGGATCCAGATTTTGGAGGCTAGCATAACAAACTGGGCTCTCCCAGAGGTCAACCAGCAGACTCCTGTTTCCATTCACAGGTCAGGCTCCCTTTCGAAGCATTTGATCATCATGAGCAGCGCGAGCCCTCCCAGACTCCTGGACATCGCCATCCAGAGCGTGCTGCAGGATGAGGCCTCAGCCATTGACGCTCTGGAGTGGCTGCCCGTAGACCTCTTCCGTCCCTTGTTCACGGCAGCCTTTCAGGGTGGACACAGAGAGACAGTGAAGGCCATGGTGTTTTCCTGGCCCTTCACCTATCTCCGTCTGGGGGTGCTGATGGAGGATTGCGAGTCTCTCTATGACATGTTAAAGGCAGCCGTCGATGGTCTTGAGATGCTGCTTGCCCTCAAGGATCGACCCAAGAGGTGCAAGCTAAAGCAGCTGGATTTACGGCTGAACAGTGGCACCGAGATCTGGAATACGTGGCTGGCAACCCAATCCGATGGCTCTCTGACCTCATCAGAGGAGCCTGCAGCCACCCAGCCCAGTACTCAGACCCCCAAAGAGGGCAGATCCAGGTCAGAGGAGAAGCATCAGCTCCTGCCCCCTGTGAGGGTGCTCATAGACCTTTGCTTTCAGGAGGAAGTCATGGATGAATTCCTCACCCTCCTCAGTGAAATCATCAAGCAGGGAAAGGCTCTGCCTCCCCTATACTGCAGAAAGGTGGAGTTTGTTGGGGATGTGCCCAAGTTTTCCATTCTTGGGGAGATCCTGGAAATGGTGCGGCTGGACTCTGTCTGGGATGTGGAAGTGGGTGGCCCCTGGGACCTGCATGACCTCAACTGGTTTGCTCCTTACGTGGCCCGGATGATTCACCTGCACACAATCTCATTCTCTGGAATCTCCCTGGATTGCTTGGGGTTATGCATGCACGAAAGGGTGGAGAAGCTCCTTGCCGAATTCACCTCTTACTTCGTTCGTCTACATCAGGTCGAGTACCTCATCTTGGAAGGTGTCTTCCTCCATGGCCGCCTCCACCAGCTGCTCAAATGTTTGCAGACCCCCCTGAAGTACCTCACCATCAATGACTGCATGCTGGTGGACTCTGACTTGACATGCCTGTCCTCCTGTCCCTCTACCAGTCGTTTGAAGTCGCTGGATTTGAGTGGTGTCTTCGGTAAAAACATACATTATGCCTTCCTCTCAGGCCTACTAGGGAGGTTGTCAGCCACATTGACCAACTTGGCCTTAGATTCCTGTGGCATCAAGGACTCTGAGCTCATGGCCTTGCAGCCTGCTCTGGGCCACTGCACCCAGCTCAAGTCCTTGGCATTGTGCGGGAACCCGTTATCCATCAACGTCCTGCTGGCCCTGCTGCATCACACCGTGCCACGCTGCCAGTTTGCCTTTCTGGAGCTCCCTGTCCCTCCCCATTGCTATGTGGGACCCCAAGATATTCTGCATGAAGGCACTCTTGAACAGGTCATGCAGGACCTGAGCCTGACCCTGCCGCTGAGCAGGCCCCACGCAATACGTTTCCTTTCCTCTCATAGTCGGAATGGGTCTGATGTGATCATCATTGATATCAAGCCTTGATGTCACAAGGTAACAAGATCAAAATAGGTTGAAGGGGACAGTAGGAGGGCTTCAGTTGTGAACACCCATAATTTTCAGAAGGTTATGAAGGACAGTGGGAGCCCCAAATTCATGTGCAGAGTAGCTAGTCAGATGAGGCTTTTGGCAGATGCCCTCTGGCCATGGGCGAGGGATGGGAACAACTTTACTATCAGACAGATTATTGTAAACTTGATGAAGGTGGATGGAACCATGGTAAGATAGGATAGTGGGTCAATTGACCTCCCTCTTGACCCAACATGCATTTGTTCTAGACTTAAGTATTCCTCCCTTGTTCCATGATAATACTTTCTTTTCTGCCTCTTGTAATATTACCGGTGGTCTTTTTTTTCTCTTGACTTTGTTTTTTTCCCCCTTCTTTATGTTTCATTTCATTTTTTCGCCACTGTTGCTGTTGGGTCTCCCAGTTTATGAAGCGCGGTCAGAGTGGATGCATAGGGATAATAACTGATGTAATGGTTTACCAGGGATAACATTTGAGGAGGTGAAGGGGAATTGGGGAGCAAGCAGTGAATGCAGGCGTGGGGATAGAGGACTAGAACTGATTTTGATCATGCTTCTACCACTCTTTATAATTATGGAATTGTGTGATATGTGAAGTTAATATCAAGAAAACTACCAAAAATAAGAAACCAAGGTAGCCCGATGAACATCATAGGTGAAGGGGGAAGAGTTTTGCTTAGGGGGCATTGAGTTTATGTTATTGGTGGTGGAATATTTGGGAAAAGGATTTCAATAATGGTTGTACAACACGCAGAGTATCCTCCACGGCCCTGCATTAAACACATGCAGAAGATGTTGACTCAGAGACTGTTGCCTTGTGTATGTTTTGGCCAGGACTAAAAAAAATTACACTAATAACCACGAGTAACCAGAATGAAGAAATGTTCTAAACTTGCTAGTGGTAGTGATTGAATAGCTGTTCTCGGTAGGATTGAGCTATGGAATCGTAGGGGGATCAAGGGTCAAGACAATTGTTTTCTTTAAACGCGAGTTGGTGTCCTACCGCTCTCCTTTGCCATAGAGTCTCAATCCCACCTCCATTCTCTGGTAATGAATCGACTTACAAAAGCACAGTAAGTTTGCTAAATGGGTGAGGTTTGGGGTTAGGGTCATGAGGACTAGGTCATGTTTACTACGATCATGTGGGAGGTTGGAAGCTTGCGTCAGAAGCTGCATGTGATATGACCACTCTGACTGAAGTCCACCCTTCTTTGTAAGCAGGCAACATGGAGGCCAAGACACAAGGAGATCTGCTGGGATGTGCAGGCGCCCCGATGTTATGAAGAGAAAACCTCCCCCACCTCCGTCCAAGAGAGAAACCCACTGCCTACCACCCTGCGCTACATTTCTGCTTCCGACCACTTGAACCAGCCGATAATAAAGAACTCTTTGTAAAGCTATCCACTTGTGGCATTCATTTCTTCTGTAGCGGGGGGCGGGGGGGGCTATAAAATTTTAGACCAGTGGTTCTCAACCTGTGGGTCCCGACCCCTTTGGGGGTTGAATGACCGTGTGAAGAGGGTCACCTGATTTATAATGGTAGCAAAATTACAGTGGTGATGTAACAACGAAAATAATTTCATGGTTGGGAGGGTCACCATAATACGAAGTATGGTATTAAAGGGTCACGGCAGTAGGAAGGTTGAGAACCATTGCTCTATAGGCTGGGGAAACAGGTGATCCAGCCAAAGTTCCACCCTTCATAGAGACAGCTGGGGACAGACTATGACAGACTTTGAGAAAGAAAGAATGCTAAAAGCTGCTAGGAAATGTGTAGAAAGTTTACGTGTGATGAATGATCAGTGCCCAATAGGAGAAACAGCTTCGCCTACTACTGACCGTGCTTAGGATTGTAATGATCCCATGGACTGGGGGGGGGGTGCACGGGGACATTTTCTGGTGTGTATTCCAAGTGGACTGAAGTCAGGTGGGCAAGAGGCCATTAAGTATGCCAAGGTGACCGCTATTCACCAAGGGCCTGATGAAAGCCCCTTAAGATCCTTAGAGCGGCTGAGAGAAGCCCTGAGGAATCACATCGCTGGAGACATAGACTCGTATGAAGGGCAAGTTTACTCCTGGATAAATTTCTCACACAGGTGCACCAGACACTTGGAAAAACCTCCAGAAGTTGGTGCAGAAGCCTGCAGGAGTTAGCTTGGAAGAGCTGGTCACTAGTGCTCACGCCAACTTTTCCAATCGTGACAACAAATGGGGAGTCCAGCTCAGGAGGAGAATACGTTAGCCATGCAGGTGTGGACACTATATCTAACCAATGCCAGTGCACTGCCTCCCAGGTCCCAAGACCCCTGCTGCACTCTGTGTTGGCATTTGTGCCATGGGGCAAAGTTTGCCCTACTGGAAACAGGCCTCCCCGAGGTCCATGCTATCAGTGTAAACAAACTGGCCTTGGGCAGCACTCTGTCCTATGGGGAAACGCAAGAGGAGAGCGATCTGCTCGCCAGTCTGCACCTGGAGCCTGAACAAAGAAGCCCAGGCAGATGGCGCCAGCAGCAAAGGGTTGATGTCTCTGGTCTGGAACCCTGGTTGTGCATGGATGTTGGAAGGTGGGCCATTACAATCTCTCTTAGTTAGTACTGTGTATTCTGTCTTACCACCTTCCCTGGACCCCGGGCACCGCGCTTGCACCATCCTTGGAGTGTCCGGAAATCCTGTAGTCAGACACTTTACAGAACCCGTAAGATGCCTATGGACAACCTCTATTTCATTCACAGCTTCCTAGTAGTCCCTGAATGTCCAGCCACTCTCCTAGGCCGAGATGTACTGTCTAAGCTACACACCTACATCGTCATTAGGCCTCATCCTCGTTCCACTATAGTGTTCCAAATGTCCCTGACCTCAGAGGAGCTGCAAAGTCCCCCACAGGAACAGTGGGAAAGTGCCTTACACCCTGCAGTCTGGGACTCGGGAGTCCCCGGCAGAGCTAAGGATGCAAGCCCTGGGAAGTTTTTCCTAAAAGACCCCCAACAGTCTTTAGGCAAGTAAATGCTTTCACACCTTTCCTGTGTTTAAAGTAAATTGGAGCCCATGCCTGTCAGTCCTCAGATTGCTTTTCAAATCTTCCAGTGACACCGATGCACACTTGCAAGGGCACTGTTGCCTCGCAGCGTTGCCCCTGCCTTACTAAACTGTCCACCTGTTTGTTTCTTCCCGAAGTCATCAGGTTACAAATGTCTCTGAGCCAAATATGCCAACCCCAGGATCACCAGCTCTTGGATCACTCCAACCTCGTCCATCGTGGGCCCTAAGTGGACAACCCCTCTCATCAGAAGGGTGTGGACCCCAAAGAACAAAGCCCCACTTTGTGCCCCTTTTGCCATCAGGAAGCAGCCAAAGACGTCGTCATCCAGTACCCCAACATTTTGGGTCCATACTCCGGCCGTGGGGAAATGTTAGGTAGTTAGACAGGGTCCAGGGTATTGTCCCTTCCCTACCTGCACAGGCCCCTACAGGAGGTTGGGAAAGGAAAGCCAGGCAAGCATTAGCCACCCATGAAGACTTTAACTGGGCATGCTCCAATTCAGGCCCCCTGAGCCAGGTGGGCACTACACCTGCATGGTTTCAAATAGGCCCAGGTGGGCTTGATGCAGCCAATGGGGTCAACCAATACCTTCAACCATGTCTTCCCAGCCAGAAGTTTAAAACACCTTGGCAGCAGGAAGGCTGGTCTTCCTTCTCCTTTGTTCCGCCTGGGCGGCCCCCTCAGCGCCTGCGCCTGGCTATGCTGGGCTCACAGCCTCTCTTCTCACTTCCTCTTGTTCCCCGCTCCTGGTTAGTTGGAGAGAATTCTCTCTTGCCTCTTCTTACCCTGCGCCTGTGCCCGCTTGGTCTGTGCCAAGGTCTCTGGCCTCAGTTCACCGCATATGAGCGTTTATTCCCACGAGGTTACCTGTATTCAGTTTTGGGCCCCAGTGCGGCTTCTGCGTGGTTTGGCACACTTCCCTGAAATAGCATGTACCCTTTTGCGACTGTAAAACCAGAAACTTCTACCATCCTTTATAAAAACCTACTTGAATTATAAGCCAGGCTTTGGCATGAATTCTTTCTCACGGTATTACCCACTCGATGAATCTAACAATAATGGATATAGCTCAATTTTTTATTTTATTTATTTGTTTTTAAAAATCATTTTATTGGGTAGCTCATACAACTCTTATTACAATCCATACCTACATCCAATGTGTCCAGCACATTTGCACATTTGTTTCCCTCATCATTCTGAAAACATTTGCTCTCCACTTAAGCTGTTGGTATCACCTCCTCATTTCCCCCCTCCCTCCCTGCTCCCCTCTCCCTCATGAACCCTTGATGATTTATAAATTATTAGTATTTTGTCATGCTCTGTATTAGGTGGGGGTTTTATACTTGAGATCTTCAATTTTGTCTTGACTATTTAAATTATTTATCCCACTTCCTAATACCTTGTAACTATCCATGTCCTGTAACCCCTCCTGAGGTATAATTACTACCACACATGGCCAGAGTGCTCCTTAGAGACAAGGCTGGCAAGACTTCATTTCACATGATTTCGATTTGCTGTCAAGAGGGACGAGTCTCATGAGAAGACCATCAAGCTTGGTAAAGGGGAGGGGCCGCACAAAAGATGAGAGCCCACATTGAGATGGAGTGACACGGTGCCTGCAACAATGATCACAAGCAAGGGAGCAATTCCTAGGATGGGTCAGGACGGTGCAGGGATTCCTTCTGTCTCTCATAGGGTGGTTATGGGTTTGGGTCGACTTGATGCCATCTAACTAACTACCACAGCCACAACCAAGAAGAATCCCTTCACATCTCTGGAACCAAGGTTGAGAAGGAATGGAGGTTGTGTTACTCACCCCCAATCCTTCATGATTGATTGAATGGGAACTGAAAGTAAAAGTAGCACGCTGACTCGGACAATCATACGGCTTACCCTGCAGGAACGGCAAATCTCAGAGGGATGACTTGTATTCATCCAATGGAAATTTCAAGATCTAGCTTGAACTCCCGTGCCCTCTGTGTTGGGAAGATATTGATGGGAGTACAAGAAGTCTGGTCAATACAGTGAAGTGTCAAATTTGCTCATCTCCCACTACGGAAGAAACTGAAGGATTCTAGGAACCACTTCAGTCTGCAATTGACCACCATGTAGTTCAGAGACATAGGTGATTATTGGCAATAGGAGTGAGAAATGTGGGATCAAAGAGGAAGGAAGAGCAGTTGGAAAATAGGATCTTGATGACAGAAACCACAGGATAGATTTTAAAAGGACAGGGATATCTTCACCACACACGCTTTTCTCAACAGCACAAATGGCAGCCGAACAGGAGGACTTCTGCAGTTGTAATTCATGGAAATCAATTTGACTACATTTGTGGGAAGTGGTCTACAGGACAAAAGAGACTCCAATCCTAAATATGAATTAAGGAGGATATTTACTCAATCTTTGAGCACACAAAGCCACAGACACATGATCTAGAGGAGTGATGCCATGAACATGAAGTCATGATAAGACCTAAGGATTCACAAGATGTTAGTAGAACAAGGCATTTTGATCATTTTTTGTTGCAACATTGCACCTATCTAAACACATCGTGGAGTTCAGCCGATCAATGAGGTCGAAGTCTAAGACCTCCCTTGGAGGTTGGCCTGGAATAGATCTATCTGGAGGCTGGCCCCTCCCACCCCCCTGCCTTCACCTTCCTGCTTGCTGGCCACCCTGAGAGCTCCTGAAGCCCCGTGATGGTCCTACTGATGTTGGATCCACTGGATCCACTGACTCTGCACCCACCGATGTGATCTGTGTCGTTGCATAAGACTACATGAAACTGAGGAGGGACTCATGGGTTGTTATCAGACTAGCAGACCAGAGTTGGACTGGGCTGGGCTGTTTTCTCGATGGATAATTGCTTCTTGATATAAAACTCTTCCTTACACATGTGAGTGTCACTGGATTGTTTATTTAGTCAGCCCTGCCTAACATAGGCATAGGACATTGGAAACTGTCTCAAACTCATGATTGGTTGGCAGATCGTTAAGCACAAAGAATGGGGAGTATGGAAGCCAGAAGGAGGCCATGATTGAGATGCACACATTATGTCGGATAGAGCTTACAAGTGGGTCCTTCCAACCAAGACTGTCTGGGTACAATGGCAAGGTTTTGATCCTGACTATGCAACCTCCAGGACTGTCCATCAAGGACACACCCAAGCAAGCCCCCAACACACTGGTCCTCCCTGAATTGCCTGGAGAAGGATATAAGTAATCCTCTTTCCAACATACTCTGCCTCAGGGCAAGGTTATCTACTTCATTCATTGAAGATCCCAAAGAATTTAATGAAGCTTAATCCCTGTGGTGTCTACTCTGGTGATTTGTGGTTGTTGAGTGTTATCCATTCCC